CTAGAGTAGTGCTACAGAAACACTATCTATTGTGCTGATATAATGCACATAAAATTTGGTATCATTTTGGAGCCATTTTGGGGGAAAATATGGTTACTTTGGTATTTTTTTAAAATGGTCATAACTCGAAAAATTGAAGTCGGAATTGGCTCAAACTTTCTACGTAGAATAAGTACATCAATATGTATCAGAAAATGTAATAAAAATTGAGGGTCATTTCGGAGCCATTTTTTGGAAAAAACCATGGGCTATAGTACAGGGTATTTTTCCGAAATTTGGAGTTTTTAAAAAATGGTCATAACTCAAAAATTTGAAGTTGGAATTAGCTCGAACTTTCTACACAGCATAAGTACATCAATATGTATCAGAAAATGTAATAAAAATTAGGGGTGATTTTGGAGCCATTATTTGGAAAAAACCATGGGCTATTAGTAACACGGTAGCGTTACTAAGTAGGATTCACCCCCAAATGGCTGCCACGACTTTTGCAGCCTTGCTATACCGGGAAAACGAGCTCCTATGCTTACCAGACTTTATAGAGGACCTCATCTTGACCAGAGGACACCAATAGTACAACTAGCGTGGCTCTAGGCCCCGTCTAAGAGGAAATTCAAAAATCAGCGAACCTGCCGTTTTGTTCAGCCACCTTTTTTTCATCTTCATCATCTTCTTCATCATCATCAAGTCCTGTCAATCCAGTTGTCGGTGTGTATCTCAGTATTGGTTGGTGCTACAAGGATAATTCTTACACCAATCTACTCCAAAAGTCTATGCGCAGGTCCATGTCCCATCATATCATTCTTCAAGTAAAGAAAAAGTGATACTGTGACTGCTGGATAGAGCCATCTTAGCTGCATGCCGCCATTTTGTTAATTAAAGAAGCATGTGCTCCAAAATTTGGGTGTGGTCGCGCATGCTCAGATCTGCAGCTCTGGAAGAAGCAAGTTATTTTTTACCAAGCCATGCTTGGAATCAACTACTGCAATACTTTACTGGAGGTTTCCAGCTAAAAGAAGGTATTAATCTTACATGTTACTGTTTTATCAAGTGTGTGATTTTATTTTATTAAAAAAAACAAATAATTAATTAATGTATGATATGCAATGAAAATATGAATGACAACAGCCTGGAAGAACAGGAATAGCTGCAACATAGCATGCAGGGAAGATGGACACTCTCAGCTCACAGCTTCTTGAACAAGGACTTGTGTCAAGACTAGTATTAATTTCACTTGTCATCAGGATAGTTGATATTCCTTCAGCATGTCTATTCAATGCTGTCTCTCATAAATGATGTAAAGTCATAACAATGATAATAATAATAAAGAAAATTATTGTTTGTGTAAAATCAACAAGCATCACAATGGCAACTAAAGAAATATTATAAATATCATAAAAGATTCAACACAAACAAGAACATAAAAAATTAAAAAAAACAAGGTTAAGTAGGATTCCGAACGACCAACGAAAATACGAAATGAAAATCCTACTCGTGATGCAAATTCTACTCTACATTGCAAGGTGATCCGTAATTC